ATAAAACAAAAACATTGGTGGTAATTTTTGACTGTGTAACTTTACAAACGGCACCTCGTAAAACTGAACTCATAACTAGAATTTATTAAACAAGTTTAATCTTTAACTCTGGTGAGGAACTTTTTACGATCAGTTCCTGCTCTGCACTGTCAGCTGATTGGCTGTCACCTGACAACAGGGGGCGGAGCCAAACCAACCTGTTTGTTCTGGAACTGCTGGTTCATTGTGAAGCAGCAGCAGGACGGGAGGAACATGCTTTCCGTCAGAGTGGGTCAGTGCTTTTCTTTTTCCTCTGAGAGCAGCACGAGGTGAGGCGGTTCACCTGGACAGGTGTTTACCTGCTCAGGTGTTTACCTGCTCAGGTGTTCACCTGCTCAGTTGTTTACCTGCTCAGTTGTTCACCTGCTCAGTTGTTCACCTGCTCAGGTGTTTACCTGCTCAGTTGTTTACCTGCTCAGTTGTTCACCTGCTCAGGTGTTTACCTGCTCAGGTGTTTACCTGCTCAGGTGTTTACCTGCTCAGTTGTTCACCTGCTCAGGTGTTTACCTGCTCAGTTGTTCACCTGCTCAGGTGTTTACCTGCTCAGTTGTTTACCTGCTCAGTTGTTCACCTGCTCAGGTGTTCACCTGCTCAGTTGTTCACCTGCTCAGGTGAAGCTCAGGATTTCTTTACTGTCTGATTTTTGTGTTCACAGTTTATTTTTATAGATTTTATTGTTTATTTGTTTCACATCAATATTCCTGAAGTTTTGTCTCATAAATCAGGATTAAATGAGATTAAACACAGATTATTTTGGTTCTTGCGTCCCTGATCGTCTCGTGGAGCGAGGACACGAGACAAGAGACGAGATAAAACCTCACAGATCTGGACAGAAACATGGAGGTTCTGGACCTTCAGACCTGGACCTGGTCTGTCAGAATCATGTCCAAACATCAAATCTGAGGATTAAAAAACAACATTTAGTCCATTTGTTTGAACCGGTTCTGTGGTTCTGTTGGACTCTCCTTGGTTCTGTTGGACCCGTCCAGTCCAGATGATTCATCAGAAGAGACGCTGCAGGAAACAAAAACCTCTGGAATCCAGTTTTACATGTTTCTGATCACAGAACCTGTTTAAAACTTTTGCACGACAGAAAAATGCAGATTTAAATTTTAGTTTAATTTTATTTTTATTCAGATTGAAACAACTTTATTCATCTTCAAGTTTCCAGGTTCATACAGATGTACAGCTTACATATAATAAATAAATAAATAAAAGTTGTTCAACAACAAAGCAACAGATGAAAGCATCAAAGCCACAGAAATCATTTATAATAAAACAGTCCATTAATAATCTGTCAGAACACCTGCTACACCTGAATGTTCAGTTTATTAAAGTTTCTATAAACTGTGTTTGGTTCTGATCCAGTTCAGGTTTTTGAACCCGAGCCCGTCTCACCTGTTCCACCTGAACAATGATGTGTTTCTGTTGCAGTGAGATCCACCCGAGGGAACGGAGCCAGCCTGATCAGATGTGAGTTTCTCTCTGATCGGATGAATGAAACTCATCTTTGAAACGACGCTTCAGATGATTGGTTTGTTAAAGCTAGTGGTGGGCGTGGTTATGCTAATCAGCTAACAGCTAATAGCAGAATGTGTTTAGAGTTTTCATTAATTTTGAAAACCATTAGCGGACCAGTTAGCTTCAACAACATTAGGTGTGGTTCGACTCACGCTAACCGCTAACTAACAAGCTAACATTAACAGGTTTGTGTTCCACTAGTCTTCAGCAGGAAGGAGATGAAGACGTAACGCAGACTGAATGACAGTTGACTTAGCGGTTAGCGATTAGCTGTTGTTAACATTAGGTAATTTTTACATGTTTAGCGTTAAAGTCCACCTTTTTTCTACATGTTTAGCTGTTTAGCCTTACCGTTTACATAATTTTCCTACATGTTTTGCTGTTTAACGTTAGCATCCACATTATTTTCTACACGTTTAGCTGTTTAGCATTAGCAAATACACAATTTTTCTACACCTTTTGCTGTGTAGCATTAGCATCCACATTGTTTTCTACATGTTTAGTTGTTTAACATTAGCATTTACATAATT